TGTGAGCCACCATGTGGTTGCTGGGATTTGAACTCAGGACCTCTGGAAGAACAGTCAGTGCTCTTAACCTCTGAGCCATCTCTCCAGCCCCCTAGGTTTGATCCTAATCAGTCCAGACAACTGGGCATGGTGGTTTGTGCCTGTAATCCCAGCACTGGGGGACTGGAGGCAGGAGGATTAGAAGTTCAAAGTCATCCTTGGTTATGTAGTAAATTTGGAGCCAGTCTGGGATACAAGAGACCTTTCTCAAAAACAGCAAAACAAAACAATACTCTTAAGTTTTTTGTGGTTGGGCACTTTCTTTGTTTGGTCTTTTCACTTTGAGACAAGAGACAAGAAAGTCCCCGCATTTAATCTTCCAGTACATCTTGATATCTCCATATATCATTGGCCTAAGGCTTATTCATATGTTGAAAAGAGCTGGATTTTCTTTATCTGATTTGTCAGTCATTTATTATAATGCACACTGTATGAACCTAAGGTTAAAAAGCCTTATAGTGTATAATAGACTCTTCATTACAGGTCTGTGTACATGAAAAAGTTCTGGGCAAGTTTCTAACTACAGTTCTAGGGGTGTGAGGGGCAAACAGAAGAGTCTCTGGAGATTGCTGCGTAACCAGCCTACCAACCAGTGAGCTGCAGACTTGGTGACAGCTCCTGCCTCAAAAAGTAACACAGAAAGTGATGTAGGGACACTGGACCCCAGCTGGCATCTGTATCCTCCACGTACATGCTCTCACACAAGCAAGCACTTGTGTACGTGCAAGCTTGTCCATAACACACACTCACATTTACACATGCAAGTATGTCCATAACACCCACATGCATACACATATACGCTCATGCACACACACATGCACATACATACACACACAGATGCACACGTACATGCACACACACTCATACATTCATGAACACATACACACACATACACATGCCTCCACACACATGTACACATACACTCACACACATTCATATGGAAGCATGTTCATTACACACACATACACATATGCTCACGCATGCATTCACACATATGCGCACACATGCACATGTGAACATTCATGCTCACAACACTCACACACATTCACATGAAAGCATGTTCATAACACACAAACACACACTCACATGCACCCACACACATTCTGTTTAACTAGTACCAGTTTTTTTCCTTCCTTCCTTCCTTCCTTCCTTCCTTCCTTCCTCCCTCCCTCCCTCCCTCCCTCCCTCCCTCCCTCCCTCCCTTCCTTCCTTCCTTCTTTCCTTCCTTCCTTTCCTCCTTCCCTCCTTCCTTTTCTTTTTCTTGTTTTTCAAAATAGGGTTTCTCTGTGTAGCCCTGGCTGTCCTGGAACTTGTTCTGTAGATCAGGTTGGCCTTGAACTCAGAGATCTATCAGCCTTTGCCTCCCAGAGTGCTGGGAGCAAAGGTGTATGGCAACACCACCTGGCAAGCACCCGTAATCTGTAATTGTACCATATCTTTGCTGATCCTGTCTTTTTCTGCTTTATTTTTTTTGTCCTGATCTAGTCTGGTTTTCTTCTTAGTTTTAGACTGAAATTTGATACTACGATAATACTTGATTTTATTAACTATAATACAAATATGATCTTATGTCTCCTTTTTAAATTTATTCTTTTAGTTTTTCTCGTTTTCTTCATTTTTGTTTTATTGTATTTTTTTCTTTGAGACAGGGTCCTACCATGTATCCTCCTGGCCTTGAATTTGTAACTTTTTTCACTTTACATTTTATTTGTGTGTGTGTGTGTGTGTGTACGTGTGTGCTTGCTCCTATTGTAGAGTGCAAGTAGATGTCAGAGGACAATTTGCAGAGTCAGTTCTCCCCTTCCACTTTATGGGTTCCTGGAGAGCAAACTCTGGCCATCAGACTTGGTAGTTAATACCCTTAACCTCAAAGGATGAGTAATTTTCTTTTGGTTTAGTTTCACCTTGTTTCTCAGTGGTACTGAGAATTGATCTTAGGCCTTGCACAGTAGACAATTGTTCTACCTCTCAGCTGTAACTCTAGCCTGAACTTGTGATTCTCAACCTGAGTCCTGGCATAACAGGTATGTGCCACCTCACCTGGCTTAAGTTTGTCTTTCGCAGACAGAAAATTACAGGAGCTACTCAAAATATTACTGGAAATACTTCTTTCAATAGAAAAGGTGACCATTCACATTAAGTGTTCTTGTTGAGAAACATTTTTACTACCTACATTTTTACCATACTTTGCTCTCCCTGTTAAATTATGTAATTTCTATTCGCCAACTTTTTTTTTTTACTTAACACAATTATAAAATAGCCTCATCTAACTTATATATATTTTTCATATATTTCCATTATCTTAAAAATAAACATTATTGCTGGGCCATACCCATGTCAGAGCCCTTGTCAAGCATATGTAGTTCAGTCTCTAGCACAGGAAAAATATGTATATGATGTGCACATGAGTGCATGTGTGTATGTGCTTATATGTGTGTATGTGTGTATGCATGTATATTTAGTGTGTTCATGTGTGTGCACATGTGTGTATGTACGTATATGCAGTATGCTATGTGTGCATACATGCGTGCATGCATGTGTGTGTATGTGTGTGTGGTAATATATAGTGTGTTTGTGTGTGTATGTACGTATATGTGTCTGTGTGTATACACATATCTATGAGTGCTGTCATGAAACTAATTCTAGTACTTGGGGAGCAGACAGTTTGAGATTCATAGCAAGACTCTGTGTGTGTGTGTGGGGGGGTGCGGGGGGAAGAGCAAGCAAACAGAACAATTTGGCTGAGGAGATGACTCTCTCAGAGGACCAGAACTCAGTTCCCAAGCCCATGCCAGGCAGCTCACAACCACCTGTAGCTACAGTTGTAAAGAGACCTGATGCCCTCATCCTCCTAGGTTACCTACACTCACATGAGCATACCTCCACACGTCACACACATGTATGTCACATGCATGCATATCACACACATGTATGCAATCAAGGAATAAAAGAAAAAAATTGATCGTTTATTGCTAGCAGGTGATTGGAGAATTGAAAAGACAAGAAAACAGCCCTGGACTTTGGTGGAGGTAGAAGCTGCAAGAAGCAACTCCAGCTGAGGTTATTTGAATAACCTCCAAGGCGTACACACCGCTCCCACCAAAAAATGCTCAGACTGCCTAGGACAAGACACTGGCTGGCTGGAACTCTTGGAGGTGACAGCTGGCTAGGGAGGCTTCCCAGTGGAGAGAGAATGACAACCCATAGCCAGGTCTGTTACTGGAGCCAAATGTTGATACCAGAGTGAAAGGATTTGCTCTCGTAGCACTGGTAGGAGCAAATTGCAAAAAGCTGTGAGGAAACTCTACCCTCTGCCTATTGGAGGGTCCTACCAGGGGGACCTCGAAAGGATGAGTGAGCTGTGCACAGTGGCAGGGAGCAGAGAAAAGATGGCATTTGCAGGCCAGAGAAAATGGCTTCATAACCAACCCCATCCATTTCTTAACCCTGACCCTGTTCCTAACTCTAACTCTAACCCTGACCCTGACCCTTACCCTGACCCTGACCCTGATCCCGACCCTGACCCTGACCCTGGCTACACTGCCTCCAGCCAATTCTTCTGTTGAGCATCTAGACCAGAGCAAAGTGACCCTACCTCTGGGACAAGCACAGATTTCCTCTATATAAACAAAACCACTCTCATTCCTTTCTCATAATGAGAAGTGTTTATTAGTAGTGACAGTCACAGTCTCGCTCTCTCTCTCTCTCTCTCTGGAAAAGAGTTGTATCATTGATAAAACAAACAAACAAACAAGCACGTCTCCAGGTCTCAGTGTACGGGGATCCGACTTATTATGTTCCAAAGGCAGATAGCACTCCACTAGCTTCAATGGTGACTCACGTGATGCTGCTAGGTTTCCTACATCTCTGCTTACTCAGGCTAGAGAGCAGGTCAGTGTATCTGAAATCTGGCCCTCCTCCACAGGCATCGACTGACCTCACTGACCTCACAGAACTCTTTGAAATCTGTCCCAGGTATTTAGGGACTGCAGGAAACCAACCCTTCGGGTATTTTGTTCTGTACCAGTCTGTCCAACTCTTCCTGACATCGGATGACACACTCCATCCTATGGCCTCAAGCTCCACCCGTCCCTGCTAAGCCTTGATAGTTTGCTGGTCTGTACCCTAGTGTCACGTCTCAGATCTAACGATTGGCTCTCACGCATGTTTTACTATTCCTCTTCAAGCAAATGGTTTTCTGTTTATATGATCTCAGCTGGGTTAGCCCAGGACTAGGGCAGCTGATCCTGCTGGCACTATTCCTCCACAGTCACACAATGGCAACCCTGCCCACGTGCTTTCCCCGCTCCCAGTTTTCATATTTTATGCATTATGTATTGTGTATTATATATTACACATTATATCATATATCATGTTACATATCATATGTCATATGCCCTATATCATATATCATACAACTAGACATAACAAGTAGATGATCACAGATGTACATTTTTGGGTGGGGGTCACTGAGTCAGAGTTACAAAAGGCTAGAGGCTACCAAGATGGCTGCCTAGTATAAAATGGAATTTTTTTAGGCTTCATAAACAATGCTTTAATCTTAGTCAAATATCCTTAGGGAGAGTTAAGCTCTCTTAGCTACTGAAAATAATATTTGGCCTTTGTGTTTAGCTCTTTAAGATCCATCTGTGTGGTAGCGTGACTATTACTTTCTCACTGTTCATGCAGTGCCTGAAAAGACCAGAAGAGGGCATCAGAGCCCCTGGAATTGGAGCTGTAGACAATCCTTTTTTTTTTTTTTTTTTTTTTTTTTTTTTTTTTTTTTTTTTTTTTCCTGCTATGTGGCTTCTGGGAACTGAACCCAGGTCCTCTGCAAGAGCATCGAAGGCTCCTAACTGCGGAGCCATCTCCAGCCCTTACCCTTTAACTTTTTGAGGTCAAAGTGTTAGTAAAGGCAAGGAATTAGACTGCTCTAATTTCTGTTAATGTCACGTGTTTACCCGGCTTTGATTTCCTCCTGGTCTTGGAGCTTATCCTAGGATGCAATCATTTCTTTTCTGATTTGGTTCCCAGCATGATAGTCTCTGTCCTAGAAGAGCAATAAACAAAGGCAGGAAGGCCAAGCTAAGTGACAGGGACACCCGAAACTAAGCAAATAAAAACAGCTGTCAATTCCAGGGAAAACGAACCGCGAGCAGCTTGGAAATGATGGCGTAAGCGTTATGTTGTAACACTTCATATCTCTGTTTAATTTTTAATTTTATCCTACTTTGGAAGGGGAGGAGTGGATTGATGAAACTGATGAAGTCTCATAGTCCACAGGAAGAATCAATAGACAGTGAGACCCACATCAAAAAAAAAAAAAAAAAGCCACACAAATTTGTTGCTTGGAAATGTGGCAGTAAATAAAAATAGTGAGTTGGAAGACTCCGTGTGGAGTGGGAAGGAAGCCAGTCTTGCTTGGGGCTGCCTCAATGTCTTGGGACAGACACATACCACTTGATTATGGAGACACATTCAGAGAAACGTGTCAGTGGTTGTCATCCTTGTACTAAAATCGTGGAGTTTGCATTATACAAACGTAGATGGCCGTGACGTCATGAGGCGACGTCATCTTACGGAACACAGCCCTCTTTGCGGTCGGTCATTGATTGACTGCCGCACGCAGCAGTGTTCGGCTGTTTGTGTGGCCCCGTGGTGTCTGTAAAAACCACACTTTCAAACAGAATGAGAGAGAAGGGTCTCATTGTTTCCTGGGAGCAGTCTTGTGCTGCAGCCCTTGAAATCATGGTTTGGGGAAAATGCCAGAAGTCTAAAGCAGAAAAGAACAGCTAGTACCTCGCTCCCTAAAGATAATTGCTCTTAAGACTGAAGCTCAGAATGTTTCCTCCCAGTCCCGTACTTAACCGAGCTCATTTCTTTTACAGCTCAAGATTCAGTTGAATTCAATCAGTCCACGCTGGGCATTAAGCCCAACTGCAGCGTTAGGTGCTAAGAACGAGGCTCGGCCTTGACCATTCACTGTTACAGGTTACACTTACCACAGAGAAGCAATAGCAACATTTGTTGATTGCCTTGAGACATCTTTGCGTTAAGCTTTAAAAAATACATTCGCTTATTTATTTGGGAGAACAGGGTTACCATGGTGTGCGTGTAGAGGCCAGAGGATGCCTTGTGGAAGTCAGATCTCTCCTTCCACCCTGTGGGTTCAGGTAATTGAATCAGGTTGACCAGCAAGCCTCTTCACACAAAGAACCATTTCTCTAGGCCGCTTTCAATTCTTATTAACGAGCCAATATTGTATCCGTTAAGAAGCAGTGGGAAACTCTGCCAAGGCCAAAAGAAATAGACACAGCCTAATTGGTAATCTATTAAGTTTAATTCTTGGTATATATATTTGTCCCAAGAGATTACAGGCCTTGACTTTGCTTGAGTTACCCTAATCAGGGTTTCAGAGTAAAGGTAGAGGGCGGTAAAGTTGCTGGGTGACTACCAGATGACTGACTTCTTGCAATTTTATAATCCTAATAATAAAAGTTAAGTTATAGGCAGAGCATGGTGGTATCTGCCTGAGTTTCCATCGCTTGGAAAACTGATGCAGGAAGCTTGTAGGTTTGAAGTCAGACAGTGCTAAACAGAGAAGATCTTGTCTCTGAAGAACCGAAATGAGGAATATTAAATTTATGTACGGGCTGGAGAGATGGCTCAGTGGTTAAGAGCACTGACTGCACTTCCAGAGGTCCTGAGTTCAAATCCCAGCAACCACATGGTGGCTCACAACCATCTGTAATGAGATTTGATGCCCTCTTCTGGTGTGTCTGAAGACAGCTACAGTGTATTCATATATAATAAATAAATAAAAAAAAATTTATGTACATTTTAGAGCTAATTGTTGTCTCTACAGGTAAACTCTCTGCTACTTCTCCAGCACTGTGCCTGCCTGCCACCATGCTCCCTTCCGTGATGGCCATGAACTCAACTCTCTGAAACCATAAGCAAACTCCGATAAACTCTTTCTTCTATAAGTTACCTTGGTTAAGGTGCCTCTTCACAGTAAAAATAATATAACTAAGACAACTGGTAGGCAAACCGGCTTTAGTTGAGTTAGATCCCAGCTCTCTTGGCTTTTAAAAACAGTTTCAATGTGTAGCCCAGGCTGGCCCTGCAACTCACTGTATAGCCTAGGATAACCTCAAACTTGTGATCCTTCTGCCTCTCCCTTTAAAGTGCTGAAATTATTATTTTATTTCACATATAAATGCTTTTCTTTAATTTCTCTCATCTTCGTGAACAAAAGGGGGACCCCGAACCTGGTATCAATGGTGTGTTGGTTAGTTTTTTTTTTTTCTCAGCTTGACACAAGTTAGAGTCAGTTGAGAAGAGGGAACCTCACTTGAGACTTAGCCTGTAGGCAAGTCTGTGTGTTGGAGGGTATTCTCTTGATTGATGACTGACCTGAGAGAGCTGAGCTCACTGTGGGTGACCTCCCCCCCAACCCCTGGCAGGGGGTCCTCCTGGGCTATCTAGTAAAGCATGCTGAGCAAGCAAACATGAGCAGCAAGCCAATAAAGTGTGCTTCTCCATGGCCTCTTGCTTTAGGTTTCCGCCTTGAGTTCTGGTCCTGACTTCCCTTCATGACCTACTGTAAGGAACAAGATGGAAATAAACCCTCTCCTCTCCAGGCATTCCCCCCCCCCCCCAGCAATAGAAAGCCAACTAGGACAAATAACCAGAAATAAGGAATGTTTTAAAAAATTTGG